GCTTTTCTCAAATTGTTAAGGAGGTTGAAGCACTAAAATTTGGAGACAACAAGAGGTACTTCTTAAAGAAAAAGAAAATATTGAAAGGGAAGTACAACTTGTTGCTCTTGAGGAGGAAATACACAAAATTAAGCAACAAGAAGCAAAACTTTTGGAAAAACTTAAAAAGAAAAAAAGTAATAAGAGTTCCAATGGCTCCACAAGCCAAGAGGATGTAGGTAGTTTGAATGTGGATGAGTATTATCAAACTATGCCTAGAAGAGTCATTAAGGAACCAAAGGTTAGGGAATCACGAGTTGATCTCCCTTCTTTTCATGGAAAAGAGGATGTAGATGCCTACTTGGATTGGGAAATGAAAGTGGAGCAAATCTTCACTTGTCATCAAGTAGGTGAAGAAAGAAAAGTTCCCTTGCCACCTTAGCTTTCCAAGGACAAGCTATATATTGGTGGACAGCCTTGGTGATAGAAAGGCGACTTCATAATGACCCTCTTATAGCCTATTGGAATGATTTGAGGAGTGCTATGAGAAAAAGGAATATACCTTCTTATTATAGTAGGGAGCTTATGGATAAGCTCCAAAGACTCCAACAAAAGAATTTAAGTGTGGAGGAGTATAGACAAAAGATGGAGGTGTACTTAATGAGGGCTGGAATAAGGGAAGAGGAAAGGTTGACTATTGCTAGGTTTTTAAGTGGACTTAATTTTGACATAAGAGATATAGTTGAGTTACTCCCTTATAGGGACCTTGATGATTTGGTCCAACTTTGTATAAGGGTGGAACAACAACATTTGAGAAAAAATTCTTTTAAGAAAGACAAAACTCAATCTAACTCTTATTTCAAGAAGGACTACAAGAGGGAGGGTCAATTTTCTAAATATGACTCTTCTAAAAACTTTAGCAAAGGTCAAGAAAAAGAAAAAAAAAGAAAAAAATAAAAATATCACTTCTAGTAGTAAATCTAGTGAAATCAAGTGCTTTAAATGTCTTGGGAGAGGCCACATAGCTTCTCAATGTCCAAATAAGAAAGTTATGTTTTTAAGAGGATAAGACATTTATAGTAGCAATGATGAATCTAGCTCTAATACTTCAAGTGACAGTGAGACTAGTGAGGAAGACCATCCAGTTGAAAGAGCTTATCCAGTTGAGACTAGTGAGGCATTGCCTTAGATGTTTGGCTTGTTTACAAGCCAAGTCTAAAGTCATACCTCATGGTAGATATTAGCATGGATTTTGTGCTAGGTTTACCTAGAACTCAAAGGGGTATGGACTCTATTTTTGCGGTAGTGGATCGCTTTAGCAAAATGGCCCATTTCATTCTATGCGACAAAGTAGATGATGCAAGCAACATTGCAAAACTCTTCTTTAGAGATGTGGTTAAGATTCATGGCCTCCCTAAGTCCATAGTATCTGATAGAGATACCAAGTTCCTAAGCCACTTTTGGCGTGTCTTGTGGTCAAGACTAGGAACTAAACTCCTCTTTTCTACTACTTGCCATCCTCAAATAGATGGTCAAACTGAGGTAGTTAATAGGTCTCTATCTACTATGCTTAGGGCAGTTTTAAAAGGTAACCACAAATCTTGGGATGAGTATTTGCCTCATATAGAGTTTTCCTACAATAGGGTAGTCCACAAGACTACCAATATTTCTCCTTTTGAGGCTGTGTATGGATTTAATCCTTTGACTCCCTTAGACTTGATACCCCTTCCAAATGTTAACCATTTTATCCATAAGGAAGGTACTTCAAGGGTTGAGTTTGTTAAAAAATTACATGAAAGTATTAAAACTCATATACAACTACAAAATGAGAAGTATGCTCAATCCAATAATAAAGGCAAAAAGACTATGATCTTCGAGGAAGGTGACTGGGTTTGGCTTCACCTTAGAAAGGAACGTTTTCCCCAACAAAGGAAGTCCAAACTTATAGTCCTAGAGGAGATGGACCCTTTCAGGTCTTACAGCATCTCAATGATAACGCTTATAGGCTTGATTTACCCTCTGATTATGGTGTTAGCCCTACTTTTAATGTCAGTGATTTAAAGCCTTTTGTAGGGACTAGTGATGATGAAGATTGTTAGAAAAGAATGGCACAATCCAAGAGGGGGGGTGAATTAGATTCTATGACCCTTTAAAAATTTCAGAGTATTTAGGATCTTTATTTCACTTAAACTTTTCTAAGACTGAATTTTCAATGAAGTTTCTTTAAAGACTTGTTATAGAAGAATGAATTCTATATGCCTTCTTGATTACAAAATAATGAGGTTCAAATGTAATGTTTTAATTCAGTTTAAACCACCAATATTCACACACACATGCTAATCAAGAATCATCTTCTTTAATGTACAATCAAGATATTACTCAAAGTAAAAGATAAAGGTAGAAGAAGATTGCATAAGTCTTTTATCCTGGTTCAGCCACTCCACATGTGACCTACATCCAGTCCTCAATCAGAACCTGATCAAGATTTGTTCCACTATCTTAATGAAGAAGGTTTACAAGCATACCACACATGCATATACTTCAACACTCAAGATAACCACTTTCTTGACCCCAAGAAAGCACCCCTTGTAGAAACCCACTACAAGAATCCTTACCACTTGAGAAACCCTTCTCAAGATTTTACAAGTATTCACAAAGAATTAAGGAACGAATTCACCTGGAATTCAGAAGCAAATCTTAATCTTCCCCTTTCAAGAATGTGATGATGATGATGATCCTTTCTCAAAGTTTTTCACAAACGTTTTTCTTCTTGGATTCACAAAGAAAACTCTCCAAGATGGTCACAAAGACTCCACAAAAACGCTTTTCTAAATTTGATTCTCAATTCTAACTCTGTTCTGAAGTTTCAAAAAGTTCAAACTATTTATAAAAGTTTCAGACCCAGATAATCGATTATTTTAAAGAATAATCGATTATTTTGTTCTTCAGGTTTTCTGGAAACCAACCAAGAACAATATAATCGATTATTTTGCTGGATAATCGATTATTCCAGAGAGTTATTTCTGGGATAATCGATTATTTTGCAAATAATCGATTATTGCAGCAAGGCATCCCATTTTGCCTGTTGCTGGAATAATCGATTATATTTAATGATAATCGATTATTTTGAGTTAGTTTTCAAAACTTTGTTTTAAGTCTCAAAATAACTTTTTAGTCCCTTTAACTCATCATCATACACTCTCTAATCAGTTTAGATATAGATTTAGCTTATGCACACAACACACACAACAAATAAACTCATTCAAAACAATTTATATACTAATCCCTATTACATAGCACTTTCTTTGACTTTGTTTTTGTCTTCTAAGTTGTTGTTGTTTGTTGTTGTCCTTGACACACATTTTGTGATCATCAAAACTCTCTTCAGCTTCAGAGATAATCTTGATCTCATCAAGTCCAGGCTCCCCTAAGCTCAACAATCTCCCCTTTTTTGATGATGACAAACCATGACTCAAAACATGACAAACCAAGCTAGGCTTCAACCATTGTGCTTTCACTTTCAACATACAAAACTTGAAAAATCATACACACACAAGCACAATACCTGCAAAACAACAACCATATACACACAACAACCTTTCTCCCCTTTTGGCATTATCAAAAACAAACCAAGCTATGTTTCACACAATACAAGCCATATGCACATTCCTTAAGTGCTCAGAGTCATACCAAAAAAAGTATAACACATCATAGGTATTAGATTCAAACTTTGTGAATCAACAACATCTCAGCCAGAATTATTTGATTAGCAACAAGTATTTGATCAGTAAAAAAGTACAAGTTACAAATCACAACTCAGAATTTTACAACCCAAAAACATCAACAAAAACAAGACATTATACTAGCAATCATCCATACTCAAAACAAAGCATTTTAATCAGCAATCAACCATGACTTGGCTCATTAAAAACATCACAATATCAAAGTCAAAAACAGAGCATTAATACACATGCTCAAAACCAGAGCATTAATATACCAGCCAACCAAATCAGCACTTTGGTACACACCTCAAATCAGTATATCAGCAAAATAAACCTCAAATTTCATCAGAAATTTAATTGTTCACCAGATTAAAGCAAGTAAATTATTCCAGAATTACACTAGTACAACCAAATTGAACTTAAAATCCAAAAACAGAATTTAAAAGTCCTAATTAAACTAGTCAACAAAATAGAACAGAAATCATTCTCCATCTTCAGGTATGCCTAGGTGAGTCTTGAGCAGCTTCACCTCATGATCAAGATCATCAAACCTATCAAGAATACCAGAAAATAAAGATTCATGCCTTCAAGACATTTCCATCACCACATCAAGTTTATTTATCATGATTTGCTCAAAAGGTGAGAATGGTTTTGGCTCCGCTTCTGGCTCCCTGCCAGGTTTAGCTTCCACCTGTGGTGGCTGATCCTCATTATGTGACGGAACACCGTCTTCATCTGTTGCCGGCTCAGGGGTTGGGGGTATATCTCTTTTAAACACCCATTTATCTTCCTGTTTAAGCATCTCCAT